GAATATTGTGTACAGACACTCTCAGTCTCAGTCAGTTGAATTCTGTTGCTCCAGTAAGCAAGAACTGATTGTTATTCCATATGATTTTCCTTACAGAAGAATCGTGGACTGAACTTGACACCAGGAATTGATTGTTTAACCTTCTCACTACCGAGTCTGGCTTCTGAATCTCCTGATCTTGGGTAATATGCTGTCAAAGAGTAGTACGATACAGCCAAGCCTTATCTCAGATTGTTGGCTTAGCCCTGATAGTAAACATCGCACTTGATATATTCATGATGCTACATTATTATACACACTGTATCGCAAATGTTAGCTTGTAGTAAATATAGTAAACCCCAAAATAAAGCATGAAAAAAACATGTCGACTGCTGATTTTTACATACAGAGGAAAGAAAGGTAAAGAACAGTCATCTTTATTCTCATTTAAAACAATACCCTTAGGTATAAAAATAGGAAGAACAGATTTAACAGCAAAGTTTTACAGCAGCACCAGCACAAATGCAGATCAAGAAGTAGGACATTGTTAACACAGCTGGATTAAACACTGTATTTAGCCCATTTTTATTTGGAATTAAGAAATGCCCATTTGTCTTTGCAGGCAATCATTGTCCTCTGGCGCAGTCTGAGTGTGGCGTACTCTGTGCTCTGGGCAGCAGTGTGCTTTAGCAGTGAGTCAGTGTGGAGAGGCTGTGTCCTCTGGCGCAGTCTGAGTGTGGCGTACTCTGTGCTCTGGGCAGCAGTGTGCTTTAGCAGTGAGTCAGTGTGGAGAGCCTGTGTCCTCTAGCGCAGTCTGATTGTGGCGTACTCTGTGCTCTGGGCAGCAGGAGCCCGGTCTCTCTGTCTGGCTGCGGTGAAGTTGACCGTGGCGTAGGAGAGGTCAGTGGGGTCGCTCTGTGAGAGAGAGACAGGAAAGGACAGTTCACCGATATTGCCCATTTCGCACGAGAGAAACACTTGCCTCACCCTCCTGAACTAGGCCGTGAATTACTCTGCCTCCAAACCTACCGTGCCCTGTTTGTTTTGTTTTTTTATCAGATCGATTTCTGAACCTCCGCGGATGAAAGCGAAAGGTTCGGTCTTTCGTGGAAAAGGGCGTTTTCTTCCAGCTGAGCAGTGTGTAAGAGGACC